GAAACTTAGTTGTCCAAATTTACGGATAGTTATCGAGCTATAAAAACGTGTGAGATTAACGAAATTTGTTAAGTCAAAGAAATGTATCAAGTTATCGATATTTATTGAATTATCATCATTTATAGACTTAACGAAATTTGTCGAGGTGTCGTAATGCATGGAGTTCTTTCAACTTACAGAGTTATCGATAATTATTGATCTACTGAAATTGGTTGGTTCAACGAATCGAAGTTTATGGAATTTTCAAAATATATCGATTTATCGAAATTTCAAGATTATATAAACTTATCGATGTATCGCTGCTTATCGAATTTTATCGTCTTAACAGAGTGTAACGAGTTATCAAAATGTTTAGATAGTTTTCGAAAAATGTGGAGCTGTCAAAAGTAAAAATTTATAAAGGTGTCCAAAGAATTTACATTTTTGATTATCGAAATTTATCGAGCCCTGGAATTTCAGTTATCGAAATTGGTCGAGTTAACGAATTTTGTTGAGTTATCGGATTTAGTGTTCTTTAAATTCATCGAAATATCGATATGTATCAACTCATTGAAATTTATCGATAAACTTGAATGTATCGGGTCAATTCCAAGTCCTGCCGAAGTCTTNAAAGCAGAAGATTTTCCGGTTAGTTAATTTTTTACCGTCTAAGTTTTGCTACGTGTTAAGTTAGAAAACCTCTCCAAGACTTCTAAAACTAGAAAAACTGTCGAATTTCGACAGTAACTGGCACTCTAGTTTGTATTAAAGCCTGTTCCCTTACAAAAAAAATCGTGCTACTAAAGAAGAAAATCGATAGACAAATAAAAAAGTTGTGAATGGTCAAAGGAAAATGCGTAATGATTTTCTTTTTGATGAAATACATACATATCAGCAGGAAAGAATATTACGCCATGTACTACATGTCGTGTGAGTAACATTTTCCATGTTAAAGTTGGATTTTTTTAAATTCATAATGCAATCGTAAGGTGAAAATATCTTGGGAAAATTACCTGTTCTAGAAAAACGGTATACAGATCCGTAATCTACAATCCAAGATTAAGTTTACGTGTCTCGGCGTTTTGTGTTTCATTCTAGCGTTCTTAGAGTGTTATATGTCCTATAAAACTAAAATTAAACAATTGTCCATAAATTCTCTAGGCCGTTTCAATATATTTTAAGAATGCGAATTCAGGAGCGCAGTTCTTCGTCGGTTGCTACAGACGTTAGCAACCGAAAGGGTACTTGCTTGAAGCGAAAACTCCACCCAGGCACATCAGAAGACATCTCTACAAACAGAAGGATATTATCCAGAACCCACTGAACCCGGCAAGGAAATGCATTTCCTTTTAAAATGGCTGTTTTCATTTCTAACAGGTCTACATATGTATGTGTACAGGGTATTCTAGACCTTTCGTCCACCTCTCTTAAAATGGAGGCAAATATTTGTTATTGGAAAACGAAAAAATATTAACTATCAAATTGGGGATGGTCAATCTTTTGGTCGTATTACCGACTTCCGGTTTGGATTGGAAACCTTTTATCGAATTTACTTCCGGTTAAAAACGGGCTGTTTAACCCCATTTCGGTCGAAATCGGAAGTCGGTAATGCGACAAAGAGCATCTTGGTGATTCATACTTTTCCGCTTTCCAATAAAAACCGTTTCCCCCATTTTCTAAAGGGTGGACAGGTGGCCTAGGCCATCCTATATAACATATGTATGTATATATAAAACATCAATTATGTGCATGTGTATGTCTGCACTTGCGGCCGACCGTATGGAAAATTTCACATAATTGCCTCAAATTCCTACTCGACTAGTGTATTAAAACGGAAAAACTTGGCAGCACTACATAGTTTTCGACGATTTTCATCGTCTACTTATTTCAGCACGACAGTAGACAATGCATGTGTTCTCAAGTCGTACAATTTAGCCTAATTTACGACTTATGCAATGAGGCTGATTTCGTCAACAGTGGGGGTTAAAATAAAGGTAAAATCTTTTTTTTCTTTATTTTGCTCTTGATTTATGATAAATTCTCATTTCTATTTAATTTATAGACAGATTTTATAAAGCAAAATTACTTGATTTCTGCATGATTTGCTTATAAATTACAAATGAGCCGCCAAAGCATTATCCAAATCTTCAGGAATTAATGTAGATTTTTTTGCTGACGCAATTAAATTTTCCTCAATTTTGCACAAAGTATAAAATATACTTTTATAAAAATAAATGTTTGTATACATTGTGCAAATTATTTGTGTCAATGCTTTTTCCGGCAGTGTACCTACTATGTATGAACATGCGCTTTAACTGTATTTTATTGATGGACCCGTTAGGGATCGAAATGATGTAGGGCCAGTTTTTCAGTGCACGGTCGTGGTTCAAAGTCGGTTTAGATTTCCGATCTGATTTAAACTAAGATCAGCCAATCAAATGTCAGCCAGCTGTTCAATTTAAACTCAGTTTACTTGAACTAAATTGTATATGTCCTTCACTGCATTCCCATTCCTTTCCTGGGGAAGAATTAATTCATCATGATGGATCTCCTCATAATTTCAGACATTCTGTTAAGTTTGCGAGAGATTGACTTCGTCAAAAAGACGGAGCGGTTTAAGATTGGCTGTCCGTCAGAACAGATCCCGATCTCACCGGTTTCTCCGTCCGTCAACCTTTTACGCTACGTCTTTGAGTGCCAGCGCTTTAAACCCTCACTTCAAAAGATATTTACTATCAGCCTCCCTAACCATATAAAGTAAAACACATTCATATCTACTAAAATATACATACTTCTTGTCTTTCGAAATTTTTATTTAAAAAACAAACTCGTGGCATATGTATGTACATACCATTTGGAAACCTAAAAATGTTATTAGTTAAAATTTATGTTTATTTAAGTATACTTTAGAGCTATGAACACACTAGGGATGTTATGTAATGCAAAATATGACACCAAGTTTGAAATTTGTGAATGTAGCAAATATATGTATTTATTTCACCATTCGTTTAGATTAATATTGACAGTAGGTAAATGCAAATGGGATTGAGAACAGAAAAATAAAAAATAATTAATAACATTTAAAATATAATCACAGTTAAAAATTTAAAGTCAACGCAAACAACTCAAAGCGAAATTTGGCTTTGATTTGTGCTGGCGAAGTGGTTAAAAAGTAATAAAGTAAACAAATACATATGTAAATATTGAAAAATAATAGTTAACCAAAGTTAAAAATATTATGTATGTATAGCTAAAAGTATTGGCGATTCAAAAATTAGTGCAAAACTTAGCGCAAAAATTAGGGAGGTCTGTTACGGTTCTCACCAAAATTCGAACATTCGAATGAGTCCCTTTAACTCTGATCATAATAATTTCCAGTGTTATTCACTTCGAAGTAGAAGCCGTCATGACAATCACGCTTATTTGAAGCCCCAAAGCAAGTGCATTAATTCTTCTTCTCGCCACTCAAAGTAAAATATCAAAATAGTTTTTGTTATGGTTGTAATTAAAGCCATGTTTTTGTTTATAAAAATTTATATATTTTTCTTTTTTATTACATATTTACTTTCTATTTTTGTATTGCATTTCTTTTGTTTTTGTTTTTTTTTGCATTTTTTTTAAATTATTTATAGGAAAAAGAAAGCTATGCTTTAAAAATAAAAAAGGGGTTCTTATAACATAAAATAAGCGTAATTGTTTTTAACTTTACGGTGAATTTGTTTGACTACAACGGCAACCGTTAATAGCTGGCAGCTGGCGTTCGTTGCAGCCTTACATGTGCGTGCATTCGATCGTGTTTATGTTTGTGGGTGTTCGTGCGTACATCAGTACATATGTATGTAGGTATGAATGTATGCATATATACATCAAGCGAATTGTTACATTTTAATATTTCTGATGGGGATATACATATGTATGCGCTATTTCACATCGAAAATGAATTTGAATGAATATGTAGTTTGCAAAAATCATATCAATTTATATAATCAAAAATTTACCGAAAATAAACAAAGAAAATTAAGTAATGATCATATATGTATGTGTTGTATATAAACAAATTATATGCGTATAAAAATAAATTGCATTACATTTTTCGCATTAAAAGGAAATTTCGTTTCTGTTTTCTAAATTGCGTTTGTACACATTAAAATATTACATAATAATGCACAAATTTCGAATTTCAAAAATGTTAAGCAGCATGTTTTTACATTTGCATTTTTTTTTAAAGAATGAATACATGAATTTCACTAGACAAATATAGTACATATACATTGGTATTTCTCTTTAAACTTTTGTATCTAAATAAGTTAAAATGCTTTTGCGCACACAGAAATTTACAATGGACGAGTGTGTTTATTTGTACATATGTACATATGAATGTATGTCTTTGGCGTGCGCCTATGCCTGCGCTCGCCTACAGATACATATATCAACTAAATTAAATTAAGCTAACTAAAGCTATTCATAGCAAATAAATTAATATTTTAAGCATTTTTATAAACGTTGCGTTATTATGCTTAAGCATATATATATTTACATCAAGACGCAGACGCGCACACGTATACTACATTCACTTCCAGTGACTTAGTACTTTACATCAAATATTATTAGTATTTTTTACTTATGTACACACATCTATGTACATTATACACGCACATACACACACACACACATAAACATTGAAGTGCATTCAATGCACACACACACAAGCGTTGAGTTGTATAAAAACCGTTTCTATAAAATAAAATCCAAATAGGACATAAAACATCGAATAAAAAAATTCAACAAAAACCAAGTGAATGTAAAGTTGATGAATGACTGTGGTATGATCAAAAGGGGCGCATCAATGGTTGGGTGATTGTGCTTTTGTTGTTGCATGTATGTATGTATTTATGAATGTATGTAAATAATAGTTTAGTGTGAGTGCGAATGTGTGTGTGCCTGCTCCTATACTCTGGTATTGGGAGTTGGCGGTGGGAGACCAACATTGATATGTTGGTACAAATACTCATATTTTAGCCTTTTTTAAAGCTGAGCTTGGAATTTGTACTGCATTCGTAAATTTGCTCTTCTCCCAACCCTGCTCCTTGACGACTCGAACCGCCACGTCAACTATGTAGATCCGTCGTCGCTTTGCCTAAGCTGCCGGCAGCATTGTAACGCCAACCACGCTCCTTCTCTGCTGCTTTGCAATTGTATAAACAAATATGTATGTATATTCTCATATTTTAGGGCTTTGCGACGACTGACCGGATTTACCAATTTCTAATTGTCTCATAGGCTGCTGCAGCTGCTTCTCTGGCTCCGGCTTGTTGTTCCCATCCTACAGCATTAGTCGTGAACGAGATTTCTTTAGTCGCCCAGTTGCACCGCCCAAACCACCATCGCCATTCCACGACTTAGACTTGGAGCGAAAATGGCGATACGCGCTATTGTAAGCTGGCTCCAACATGGGACAGTATGCGACGGGATCGCACAAATCCGAATGCTGCTCGTAGAACTCTTTGTAACCATTGTGCAGCAGGTAGATCTCGGGGTATTCGAGTGCTGGGTAACAATTCGTATTGCGCTCGCGATCGGTGCTGCGGAGGAAACGCGATAATTTCGGTCCACGTTCCGATGAAAATTCGCAGTGGAATATAATAATGTTGCGCCGATTATCATTGCTCGCCTTCTGCTGATCCTCAGACTTTTGCTGCGTCAGGAACTCTTCGATAATCTGTTCGTGCGTGTACAAATTTTGTGCACCACGTATGTGGCCACCTTCGTACTCATACGGATAGCGACAATCGATAATGCGGTAGGAGGCCACAACATCATCGAATTCACCGCGCAGTAAACGTGCCATGGTGTTGCAGGAAATCGATTTCAGATCGCGATGCCGACCTTCCATCAACGGCAGTGCAAATGGCCTGCTGAAGTCACCAATTAGAACTGGTTCATCCTTGCTTTCGGATCGGGCTAGCGCAGACATGATTTCAGCATCATTCATTGACATGCTCTTGCGCAATGGAGGGGGATGACTCAGCTTAGGTTGCGGCGTTGCCAGTACAGCCAGCGACATTGTCAAAGAGTCGTTGAGATTTTCTTTATCCGCTTCAACGCGGTACCGTTTGATTTGTAGGGGTGAGGTGGTCTTCGACGGTGGGTCAGGACGCTTGAAACAGTAGCTAAGGGTGGTATTGTTACGCTCAGCTGTTAACTGTTTGGCACCGAACGGACTTGTTGCAGTCTCTTGCACTTGTTTAAGCAGTGTCTCAGGTGTCTTTGGCGCCGGCAAGCAGTTATCAGTCATGCTCAGACAGCGACGTACTGGGGGTCGACGCATTTCAGGCGTTTTCAAAGGTTCTATCAATTTTGGCTGTTCGGCTGGACGGTGTGCGGGTGAAAAGAAACTTTTGATTTGGCCAATGAACAACGAATCCAAATCGCTGGGAACTTTAGGCATCGAATTCGCTGGCTGCAGCGAATGTTCGAGTGACTCCATTTCAAAGAGTTCCATGTAGTCCTCCTCCATCGATGAAGACCCCATCGAACCAGAAGAAAGACTGTGAAAAATGCGCAGGCTGTTTGCAGCCGTTGGGGAACCTTTGCTGCTGCCGTTGGCATGGATATTGGTATTTGGTAGCTTCTGTAGGCGCGACGCGATTGATTGGCGATTATGGTTGTTTTCGCTATTGTTGATAAGCTCTCGCTGATGTGTATGTACTCCGGACTTTTGCACGAATTGGAAGCGACACGGCGACCCTTCTGGTGAAAGCAGACCCATTTGTAGGGGTATTTCGAAAGCCGTCGAACGCAAGCGTTGTTCTTGAAGCTCATTAACCCGTTCATCGTCATTGTATAAGGACAACTGATGATCGACAGCCATCTCGTGCAGCGAGCTGTTCATAATGGCAAGCTCGTGATGATGGGGAGAAGCGTTTTTGTTGGCAGCGACCGAGACAGAATTCAAGTCGTGTGGCAATTGACAACTAAAATGCAAACAAACAGAGAAGAACAAATTCGACATTAAAAAAGTTTTGAAGAAATTTGGGAAAAAATTATTGAAAAAGTAGTGAAAAGAAATAAACAGAGAAAATTGGCAGGTATTTACAAACAAATCAAAAAGTAGGCGCCATTGACATTGCTAACAGCGCGGGTGGTAGCTTTGGAGCTGCGGCATCTAAAAAGCCACACGGCGGGCAACATCCTTTGGAACAAATTCAAGCGCACTACTACACAGGACACACAAAATAGGACTGAATCAAATTGGACTAAGCAGCGTTGAGTGAACCACCAGCTTGCTTAGACGGCGCAAGCCCATCCAGGCAGCTGACGTGCAAAGTAGCTGTGTGCATGTATGAGTGCATGTGCAGGCGGTGGGTTCATTNTGTTGAGTGAACCACCAGCTCGCTTAGACGGCGCAAGCCCATGCAGGCAGCTGACGTTCAAAGTAGCTGTGTGCATGTATGAGTGCATGTGCAGGCGGTGGGTTCATTCAACTTGAACTGGCCTGTACACATGCGCTGTAAGTTACAAGCATATCCGTGCATGTATACAGTTGTAAAAGCATTTATTTATGGTATCAAATAGTAGGATGATAGCAGGGAGCTCTGCTGTTGTGGTTGCCAATAGTGCTCGAGAGCTGGTGCTAGCGGCGGCGGTGGTGGATATACTAAACACCAACAACACCATTAAATTAAGAACAAGAAAAATTCAACCCACAAACTAACACAGTACTTATAAGCAGATATGTATGTATGGGAGGGTTGTTCATAAAAACAACGCAACTGGAACTACAATAGAAGACCATACAAATGCTGCAGCTAAACACATACAAATGTATGTATGTACATAGGTGTACCGTGCAAGGAGCGCTTGTTACACCAAAACGCCGCTGAATTACTGTACCCTCAGTGCCATGCGAGAATATCAGTCCCGTGCCTCGAGTTGCATTCGATGAAAACAACAACAGTATAATGCCGGGTCTGATATTGATCGACGAAATGGGGGAATACTGACTGAAAGCAGCAGAGGGCGACAACATTTCCGAGCATACATACATACACATGTATGTACACACGAATAGACTTGGAACAAGCGTATTTGTACATTTGAATGTATATGTATGTATACTGTGAATGGAATTCAGTGCAGGAGCAGCCGCAGCAGCGTAGAANTAATGTATGTTTGTATACTGTGAATGGAATTCAGTGCAGGAGCAGCCGCAGCAGCGTAGAATTAGAGACCGTCAGCAGCGCAACATTTGGACATACATATGTATGTACTTATGTACATCGATATATGCATATGTATATACTAGGGTATTCGATTATTCGCCTTTTTTCAAAACCGGTTGCCGATTTTGAAATAAAGAAAGGATAAACCAGTTTTATTTTACATATGTAGTTTTAATACGTTGAAAATGCTACCTCGATATCGAGTCATGGACAAAAATTATGTTATAAACAGGAGGGATAGCTTTTATTTAGAAAACATCAAAGCGAAATAAGTGCAAAGTGTTTTTTCCCCGTAGCGAATGTCATGCATTAGTCACTTAAGAGTCTTGTGCGGAAAAGTTACGTCTTAAATGAGTTTGGGCTCCGTTTGTATGGAAGTCGTTCATGACTTTTTCATATAAATGGTAATTTCGTCATTGCAATGGACTTTTTATAAGTTGAAAATTTACGTTTGGTCTTTTCTAATACTTTATTGAATTTTTTCTGATTTTTTTTCGGTTTTTGAGCCGCCATAGCCGAGTGCTTAGAGGTGCCTACTGCCACTCTGGAGATTCCTGGTTCAATTTCTGGTCCCAGCAACATCAACAGAAGGGTTTTCTAATAGCTGTCGCCCGTCGGCAGACAATGGTAAACCTCCGAGTATATATTTCTGCCATAACTAAGCAGAACACGAATTTTAAGAAAAGCTCGGACCAACACGTAAAAAGCGTTTAAGCGCCAAGCATTTATTTATTCAAATCTAACATGATATACAGTTCTCTTAAACGGGAAGACTTCGAAAAACTTGAAACTTTAATTGGATTTGTTTGAAATGAAAAAAAAACGGTTTCTTTGATCAAAACATTCCGTTTGTTCGATATTCGAAAAATCAAGATCTCAAAAAACCGCCTATAAATTTCCAAAAAACCGGTGGAAACCGGTTTGGAAAAACCGAGTCAATCACCCTAGTACATACCCATATGAATTGCAGCGCCTCGCAGATGTTGCGACTGTGCCGGCTGGCTGCCAACCTGGCCATTGACATAACAGCAAAAAAAAAAAATAAAATAAAGGAATAAATGAATGGTTGACTGATTGACTTACTCCAATGGACTCAAAATGACCCGCAAGAACGCGGAAACAACAAGGAAGTAGCCAACTACGAGTTCGTACTTTTCAAATACAGCGACGACAATTACGTCAAGCAGTGGTCGAGCTCATGCACCAAAACTCAAGTTATTCCCTAAGAATTTCAAGCAAGTTGAGAAAAAACTATAAAGTCACGCTGCATGCTCAGCTTCAAGGGAGGAACGAACAGTCAGCAAAAAAAAGGAAGTTTGCCTTACTTCGCCAGCTCTAATGGCTGCACCGTACACGCCACGTTCAGCTAAAACACAAATAAGCGAATAGGAAATAGAATAAAGTAAACAACGAAGGTGCCAAGGTTGTGCAAGAAAATGCGATCAGCATGCAGCGGAAATATTATTAGACCAGGTCGTTAACTTAAGTTAAGGAAGTTGTACGTACATGCGAGCAAAAGTAGCGCAGTGAAGTGAAAACAAGGGCCTGAATGTGCAAAACAAGAAATAAGTAAGACCACAAGCAAAAACACAGAACCGAAAGTCAACTGTCGCCGACGCACTGCCAAGTGAAGGCGGAAAACACCTTCGCCATCCGCCAGAAAGGCGAGCGCACCGTTCAATGGGCAAGGGTTTGGTGTACATACCAATTGCATTTGTGGCATAACTAAAACAGGGGAAGCTATTGTAGGAATACAAATCAAAACAATTTAAGGTGATCTGCAACGTATTCGTGCTAATACACCACCATACGCGCTTTGGTCACGCTCCAAATGACCAACTCTACACCATTCCATGGTGCAGCTTAAGACGCTAAACCTCACAGTCTGAGAAGGAAATGACGAATCCAACGGTGTTGGATACATTTGTGTGCTACAACATTAAACAAACGAAGCCAAATGTGGAATTAAAAAGTGAAAATATATGTACGTACAACTGTTTATACTACTTTTCGACTAAAGCCTTAAAATACTTACATATATACATACTATGTATGTATGTATTTGGAAAGAATAAACGATATAAAAGCAACAGCAAAAAGGCGTTGTAAAAACCATACCTCAGAACTCTCACTTTCTTTGGCTTATTAATGGGGAGATCGACCGCAGCAACGGGTAGCCGGCCGGCCAGCCAGTGTTGCCAGAAAATTTTTGTTAAAAAATTCTCCTAGTGATGGTAAAATTTTCAAAAAAACGTAAGAACGCCTTTTTTCGCCGTCAAAACACTATCGCGCGTTTATTCGTGTGTAGTGACGATATCTCAATTGAAGATTTTATTTTATTTGTTATACAAATATATGAAAATAGTACACAAAATATACCATATTCATAAAACTCAATACATATTAATATCTACCTGTAAGGTAAATTTATGACAAAAAAAGCAAAGGTTTGTTGTCAACTACCAGTGCAAATTACCAAAAGCCACGGTGTATACAATGGGCACAGTTCAACGTTTCACTTTTTTTCCTATCCATATTTGACAATAGAACTCAAGCTGGCCTACTTTCGCAATTGCAGCAGTAAATTGATGACGAAAACGAAAAAAAATGTGTTGCCAACTATCAAAAAGAAAAATTCAAGTGCTGCTGTGGAAACTCCAGTTGTAATTATCTTTTTCTTTCGTTTCTGATTATTTATGAAAAATATCTTCATTTTTAAGATAAATCTCACTTCCGGCAACACTGCTGTCAGCCTGTTGAAGTGAACTCGCGAACAGCGAGATGAGGAAGAAAGATAAACACGTCGTAACAACAAAAGTATCTACACGCTGAAACCGTTGGAATGGAGTTCAAGTTCAGTTGTGATTGCTTGTAAAGTTGGCGACTTGGAACTTGCGCTTGACTAGCGAGAGCGGCAATGGAAAGTAGGCGCTCTGCTCTGCTGCTCTGCTTGAAAGGCAGAGGCGTGGATTTATTTTAGCCTCCATCACGTCAGGTTCGTGGTCAGTTGAAAGTCAAGTAGGGGAACACCTTTCGATGACCTAAAGGAATCAAGGGATCCCCAACACTTCGGATACATTTCCCAGTTAGTTCCTATGGAATCCCAATCGTGTAACTGCTAAAGAGATTAGGGGTATTCTCTGAGTCTTGCAAAGCCCTTGCACGGTGCACAGATTGCACGGATTGCACGGCAAAACCCGGTTTTCTTATGGGACAGCTTTGCAAACCGTGCAATCCGTGCACCTTGCAAGGGCTTTGCAAGACTCAGTGAATACCCCTATTGTCTTCCATATTTTTGTTAAAATTATTTACAAACGTGCCAGTCGTGTGAGACGTGCTTTAAAAGAAAAACGAATTTAACCCTGGATACCTGTCGTAGAATGGCTGAAGAACACCGTTTGTAAAAAGTAGCAAAATATAATTTATTCTAGAGGCCTTAATTGAAATTTTATTTAATTAAGTTTACTGATTTTTTTTTTTATATAATATCCTTTATACATATGTACGTACCTAAATACAATTCAAATACATACATATGTGCATACATAAACACATATTTTTACTAATAATAATTTAAAATTGACTTCGCGTTCTCGTCGAATTAACGTACACATATGGAATACTTTAGTCGGAAGACTGGACTGCTATTCCTAATGAATTTCAGAGTATTGTTATACTCAGTGCCTATTCCCACGACAGTCCGGTCTACATAACAGGATCGACCCAGATTTACAGTATCGGTCATATCTATAGCACGCCATTTCCTTGTGATATTGTGTGCCCCTTATGTGTATTTATTTATTTTTAAGAATTTTCAATTAAAATTTAGTTCATTCCCAGACAAACCCCATATATACCCAAGTTCAACAATTTGTAGAAAACTACAAAAAAGTGTAAACAATTTTCACTCAAATTTGAAACTTTTTTTTCCCGGAAGTGTTAGAATTTTTTTGAGTACACAGTTTTGTAGCCCCTGCAATTTTAGTCTGATAATGTGCAAATTTCAAATGGCTACGAATTACCATTGATTTTTTTAAATTTTTTTTTGTCGCATCGGCTTCCATAATATGAATAAACTCAATTTATTTGTATATGGAAGAAAACCGCAACACGTTTGGCGAAAAAAATTCTATAAAATAAACGGTAACTTTTAGCCACTTGAAACTTGCACATTATCAGACTAAAATTGATTGGGCTATAAAACTGTGTATTCAGAAAAATTCAAACACTTCCGAGAAAAAAGTTTGAAATTTAGGGTAAAATTCTAAAAATTTTTTAACTTGGGTTTATATGGGGTTTGTTAGAGAAAGAACTGTATTTTAATTGAAAATTCTTAAAAATAAATAAATAAACATAAGTGGCACACAATATCACTTTGAAATGGCGTGCTATAGATATGATCGATACTGTATATCTGGCCAAGGACTTTCACTCCAGCATCACTCCCCAAAAACTATTTGGGGAATTTGTATGCTGTTACCACAACAACAACTGGGTTTTGGCGAACTTATTAGAAATTATAAATCACTTTCCATGGAGAAACCAATTGAATCTTGCGAAAAATACCGCACTCTAGGTAAAGAAAAAGTCAACGATTCTGACAATGGTTCAAGTTTTTGCAGTGATGTGGATATCCAAACGATAAGTAGCCAAGACAGCGACCGCACAAGAAAAGATCTGCGATTTATGAACTAGTAATGAATTGGTGTCAACAAAGTTGCAAAGAATTTTCAGGAATTTGTATGATGTTGCAATAACTACACCTCTGCGCCCCCACCTCTTTAGTGAACTCAAAAAGAATGTTTCGTGCATCGGGTATCATTTAATAGCGAATTGCCCTTTAATGTGGAAAACCTTTTCAAAACGAAGAATATTTTGTGGAAAAAATGTTTCAAATAAAAATTTCTTGAGTAAAAATCCGGAAATCCGGATATCAGCAGTATCCGGCCGGATAGTCGAATAATCTAAAAACGGCCGGATATCTACCAGACAACCGGCATAGCTCTAGTAAAAGAATATATACATATATGTAAGTACCTATGTACATACATTTCCTCTATGAAATAAAAATTGATGGATTTTTAGAATTCTAATAGTTTTACTAAAAAACGCCTCTAAAAGTTGACTTCGCCTGGTCGACGAATCAGCGTATACAATTAGTCATGTGACACGACATTTTAACCAGTTTTGATTTTTTTGATGTATAAAAAAAATATCAAAAATCGACGTGAATTCTTATCCACCTGAAACTTGCACTTTATTAAGCGAGAATTAAAAAAAAAAATCTTATTAAAGTTTTATGCAACATTTTTTTTGAAATTTTCTTATTTCTTACAAAGATTGAAATTTGGACTTAACCGGTTTTTGTTAAATAATGAGCAGTATTTGTATAAAAAAAATAATAATAGGTAATCATTAAACAAACAATCGAAGAATCACAAAAACTAGTCAAAATATCGTGCCCCAATTATTTTTCAAATGACCAGGTACATATGTAGAAAAAATATTGGGAACCCATCCAGGTTTAAAAATATATTCATGCACGAAATTCATTTGCATTTACAGTCGAATTATCGAAGAAAAACTTTTGCTATTGAACCATTATGTTAAAATGGAATTTTTATTATTAAACGTAAATTTTTTTGTTGGTTAATTTTTTCGACAGGGTGGATAGCTTATATGTAAGTACTATATTTTCGAATGAACTTCTGATCCTTTGTCTAGTTTCGTTTGGAGACAAACCGGTTTGGACGTCGTGCCATCTTCATTGTCAGTATTCGTTGGAAGTTCATTTCGAAATACATAAATCATGATAAATTTTATATTTTACAAACTTAGGTATGTACATACATAGTTTTGGCGCTTTGGACCTTCTTGAGCAAGAAAACTTTCAAAAGTGTCTACCAAAGATTCTAATTTCACTTAATTCAACTTGATGCACTTGCTCTCCGAGCTTCATCAAATTTCGTTGGTATGCACATAATTTTGAATTACACAAAAACGTATTCCCGAGATAAAATTTAAATGGTAATTAGAGCCCACACATTCAGTGCGATCCAGAACGTCTAGGATTTGCAGGTTTTGCAGGATTTAGCCCAAATTCATTCCCGTATGCCACGTTCACATATGGTTTATTAAAGGAAACAGGCTTATTTTATATTTCTCATCTGACACCTATTACACCCTTTACGCTGCCTTTATTTTTAGTTTCCGTTTGAAAGAATAAATTTTGTACTTTTAGTTTCCGTTTAAAATATTTTTTTTTTTTTTGAATTTTTATTTCAATGCTTTAAAATTACCTTGTGAATTCCATGGCCATGTCACCACTGGTCTCTTCTGCGATTGCGTCCCACAGCATTTTGTAGTTTTATATACTTTTGTACTTAATTACAGAATGGCAAAATATTCCGGCACTAAAATGTCGGGCGTTAATTTTAACTATCGTTGGTTCTGTGCTCCTGAAAATTGCTAGAACACAATTTTCAGCGGCTTCACTCTCCTTTGTTTTAAACTCCTTCACGTGCTGCTGCTGCTTTCATCAGCTCTGGTTTGTGCACTTCAATTACTGTTGCTGCATTTTATTTTTGTTAATTTCACTTGTTTTATTTACTATTTCGTTATTTATTGCAGTCCTTTTGCTAGCCAAATAGCTGGGCGATTCTCATACTTGATTTTAAACAAAATTTACAACTTTTAGAACCTTTATGCAAAATGTCCACCACAATTGCTTCTTACAATTTTGATTGTTCGTTCTTAAGTACTTAATAAACCACATATGTTCTATATCATTTTGTATCAATTCAATATTGCTTATAGTCCCGAGGAGTTGAGTTTTCTTATTTTTGATACGTTTCAAAGGAAATTGCATTGAATATTATAAATTGATTCACTTCAAATTGAATGTCGGATATGATTTTGGAGTGACCAGGCGGTTGGCAAGACGCACGAAGCAAGCACACCAACTACTTGACACCACACCACAAAGCAAAAACTCAAACTAACTCACTCATTCGCATAAAGGCGCCTTTTATACAAAACTTTACGCGCGCTCTATTTTACATTATCCACTCAATTCTGCAGCGCGCAAAAGAGGGGAAATAGCAGCTCTGCTACCACTGCACCAACAATAAAAAGTCAGTTGCAGTGTTGCCACAAATAATTGCCAAATTCCTCAAAAACAAATGAAAAATCCTCAGCATCCGAACAAATTACTCAAAATTTTCTTATTACAGNGAGTTGCAGTGTTGCCACAAATAAATTGCCAAATTCCCCAAAAACAAGTGAAAAATCCTCAGCATCCGAACAAATTACTCAAAATTTTCTTATTACAGATATTTGTATTATGTACTACTGTTTACTGGTACTTAGTAAAAAAATTAATTACATTCTCCAATTCATTAAATTGGTACATTTGTTCTTGCGGCTCAAACAAAGTATCACCGTTGTTTTTTATGCCTTGCTTTGTGTATAATATTGCTACTACTATATCAGTGGTCAATCTGGTTCTCAAGTCAGTCCCACACATTTTTAAACTACTAAATATANCTATAATATTGCTGCTACTATATCAAGGTTCAATCTGGTTCTCAAGTCAGTCCCACACATTTTTAAACTACTAAATATACGTTCTACTAAAGCATTAGAAAATGGCTATATTAGTAATGCAGATATATATATTTTATTAATTGGGAACCTTACATGAGCAAGAGGAATCTTTTAATTCAAAAACTTTTTTCCTATAATTTTCTGGATTTAATGAAGAATCAATATGAATCTTCTTATGACCAAACAATGCGTGTTCTCTCCGTTTGAAATCGAGATTTTGCAAGTTCAAAATATAACGATTGATTTTATTTGGCTCCTAATAAAACTTCGAAAAGCTCTTATTCAGAAATTTCCAGAGCGATTTAACAACTCTGTTGCGTTAAACATGGTTGCATTTGTTATCTGCAAATATATCGAGAGAAAATTTCTCAAAATAAAAATCCTCAAGTTCTCAACACATTTAAAACTTTTTATCTTCATTATCTAAACGCTTTGTCGGATGGCGACATTATTTTTTGAACACGGCAGTGAAATCATGAATTTGTACGAGTTTGACATAAAAGAAGAGCAGGCCACAACCACAGTCGTCGCGTAGCCCGGTCATCGCCAAAAATAATTATCTACATAAGAGTACGTGGTAAAATAACAGCTTTGGTCCGTAGCTAGTCGTTTTCATTGTGTTCGGGCTATCAAGTGCAACCAAAATTCCTTACGTTTTGAGGAATTACTAACAAAGTGGCAACACTGGTCAGTTTTCAATTGCCCGCAAAATGGAATGCAAAAAGAGAAAAACAACCGATTTCTCAGAAACTCAATGCAGAGAGCCAACTACAGAACACGGACGAATTATCACTCAATCTTTGCAGAGAAACGGGTGCAATTGCAGGCCGCAAAACGAACGTATGCACCACCAAAAAGCAAAGAACAAGTGGAAATGGCAAACGACTCAGAGGAAAGTGAAGAAAATTGCGCGGAAGGCGAAAAAGGATGCTTTGATTTCTGGAGAAGTCATACAGCTGGTAATGGCGCCAAGGCAGACAGACAGCTTCTTGAGGTTGCTGTTCACTTTAGTTGGATGCATGTATGCGCTTTTCAACCTTTAATATTCTTCTCACTCTAGCTACTCAAAAGGAATATGGAACTTCCTTGAAGATGTCGCTTCGTCCTGAGTGAGCCTGGTTAACTGATCGCTCGATTGGTATGGCGTTTTATTATCCTGACTCCGGATTTGATATTGGTTCAATGCAGTGAAACAAGGATGCACTGATTTTACACGATTGAACCACTTTTGTATAGCACAAAAAAACAAAAACAAAAACACTGGGGAAATCAAATCTTACATTTTTGGATACAAAAGGCCATGGAGCAAGTGTATCGCGAATCCACTATGTATTGAAATATTACTTCCTTTCCAATGCCTTGAAATAAAACTGGTATTACGTACTTTAAAGCTTAATAAATATACACATATAGAAACGCGACTAAATATTTTAGGAGCAGCAATAGAAAAATTGAAGATTTGCACGCGCGTGACTGGAGAAACGTTCACTACTTTTAATGATTTTTTACCTTTAATGGACGAATTCTTGGTATTGGCGAAATGGCCGCATCACACTTTGTTGTTGGGCCACTTCGCCATGATTTTGAGTCAACATTTTTGACACTCCATGTGCCCAGCTTTTTGGTGAGCAAACATACAAACAAACATATGGACATAATTGCTGCTCTTCAGCTGTTTAACCAGTAAAACACAACCACAACTATTAGTTGTTGTTTACAGTGTTAATTGTCGCTCCTTGCTATCCACACTATCCTTGCCATCAGCTGAGCGGTGATTTTTACATTTCTTTCGCCTTATCACCCATTCGCTTTTACTGTATACTGTATGTATATCCTTTTGTTGCACTTGAAGCCCTTGAGCACTGCGCCGTTCATCGTCGCTGCCACTGCTGAACTCGGTTTCGGTCTCTTTCTTGCAAACATTTCTGTTTACATATTTTACCTCTTTGCACATAAAGTTGATAACAACAAATCCGAGTGTAGCAGCAGCAGAAGGGGCAATAGCGACGTTGGCGGTCATAACAACAGCAACAAAGTTCGCCGCTGCGAACAGTTGTTGATCACATAGCGACAAAAACAGCAACAACGTCATGCGCGTTTAGCTAAATGACCAACAAACACACAGCAATAGATACAAAGCAAGAGCAGCATTCCAAATTCGGTATACCTTTGCTGGAGAGTTGCCAAATCTCGTTGTTCACGATGGAAATAAGCGTGTTAGAGGAATTTACATAACGTCGCCGTGATAAAAGATAGTCGTAAGCGCAATTTTGACGATTTTTTGTTCTAGATCAGTTCTATATTTTGAAATAAGATCTTTCGAATGGTGTTATCAGTTTTTGGATATCTCATTTAGTTTTCGAGATTTTGCCTACATTTTTTTCGATTATTTAGTACGGATTTGGTTAGTAATGCAGTCATATAAAACTAATCAATTTTTTTTAAATGCCGTTATCCATTTTCGGATATCTTCTTTAGTTTCCGAGAAATTGAGTGAAAATTATCGTTAATTTAGTACAAATTTTGAACTAAAATAAAAATGGTCAAAACTAATTACCAATAAACAATAAAAATTAAATAATCTAAGAATTCTGTGAACTAGTAACATTCTCTGAAACTTTGGCGGACCCACGGGGAGTGTTTTAATACATATACGCCATATTATACATAAATATGCGCCATATTAAAACACCGCCCATGGGTACGCCACTGACTGATACGTAGTTCAACCCCCAAACCGCCCCACTGGATCCGCCACTGTCGGTACCCATAGAAATCTGACTAATTTTGACAAGTTCGGATTCGTACGGAATGGTTTGTTACACATAGATCAAAAAACAAAATCCACATTGAATATTTTATGATTGCGTTTTACGAAAATATTCAGGAAGTTTTTTAGAACTTTAAAATTTCTACATATGTAAGTGCTAAAATAGAGGGAATGTTTTCTGTCTCGTCATGTGGCAAGTATGTATGTATATATTAATGTGCCAAAATGCCCATGCACAAACATTTGGTTCAAAATGCCCGTTTTCCTCTGCAGAAGTGGGAGTTACATATCAGCTTGGATTAAAGTTTTAGTTGTATTCGAAGTTCCATCATTTTTTTTATGTCATTATAAACGCAAAACCGCACTACGAACTGATATTGTAAACAAGAGAACAATTCAAAAAAGCTTTTGAAGGCAATGACTGACCTTTAAAAAATAACACATTTTGCATGGTTGGCGGAATTCTCAGCACAAGCACTTTATTTTGTCACAAATTGAGTAGTTGTTTCGTATTAAGTCTTTGAGCAGTGCCAAGCAACACAACCATCCTCGGACTTTTCATTTATTAGTTCGTTTAAGTTTTTAGACCCAAATTCATAAAAAATGAAGAAGATTTCTACTACTCTATGAATCGATAATTTGTACTTCACTTTTATAGCTCTTTAAACCTATTTTATTTTTTATGAATAAGGCCATTAATAAATTAATAAAGTTTAATATTTTATTAAACAAGACAACTAACTGAAATCAAAGTTAAAAAATATAGAACTTATAATTGCATGAATAAAAAAAATAATAAATGAAAATTGTACTGGCCCACAGCGGTCGGAGAGGCCATGTTTTATGCGAAAAATTAGAAGGACTGTTACGATTATAACAAAACTGCGGGATCGTAGTATTGTTGCAATGTTAAATCCGAATATGCCATAAAATTTATAGTTTGACAGTTGAAAGCTGTCAAATCAACTACCAATTTCTCTAAAATTATGAAAATGTTTTTGAAGATTAAAACAGATTGAAAAATTAAAACCTTGACAGTTGACGGTTGTCAAATGGACTGTGATTTTTTCTTAAAATAACATAATCTTTTTAAAAATACCACTGATTAGGTTTAAAGGCATGCTGATCACGAATTTTATATCAAATTAAAACTTTGAGAGTTGACAGCTGTCAAATAAACTGTTATTTTTTCTAAAAATAAGCAAGTCTTTTTTAAGATGCTACTGATAACATTAAAACCTTAAGAGTTTACAAATTTCGGAGAGCTGTCAATTTCTCCAGAAATAAAGAAAAATTTCCCACGAATTAAACGTACTATGTTTTAAGGCTCACTGATCTCGGGTTCTGTATCACATTCAAACATTTTCGGTTGACATCTGTTGTAAACTCAAGGAAGGAACATATCTAAATTTAATTTATGATCAAATTATGATAGCGAAAGTTTCCATAAAAAAATTTTAAGGAAAGCTATCCACTCATAGCTGCTAGAACATGCCACGATTGAGTTTACTGAATTAAATGGATTAAACGGCTTGCCCAACAGATATTATTGAAAATACTGGACAGTTTTGAGTTCGTTGAGCATTTCTGAATAAAAATGGCTTTATTCCGGATCAACTGCGCCGTTCATC